ATCACAGATTCATGAATATTTAGCAAGTTTCCACACTCCTATGCATGACAGATGTATTTTGGTTTTAAAAGAATGTCAAAGCCATTCACTGCAGCTCCCTTGTGAGATTAGAGTGGCCCCTTTTCTGGGAGCAGTTGGTTTGTGGCTTCATCCTGCATCTTCCTGCGGATTGGTTTGGGGTTGAACTCTATTAACTGGAACTTTTTCAGGGAGGAAAATGGCATCCATACAGACATTTTTACTTTCAATTTTCATTTCAATTACATTTATATTTGGGCTTTGAGATTGTCTACAGCTGAAATATATCTGCCAGGAGTTCAAGTATTTCCTAGTCATTGCTCACATTAGTTCTTTGAAAGGATTGTCAAGACAAAAGGAATCACACACAACCAAAAGTGTCACCTGAGGAGGATGTGTGAGCAGCAGGTTAGGCCAGAGGACAAGCCCTGCTGGCATCCTGAGCAGCCTGGCTGCTGGGGACTGGCACAAAGCACTGCCCTGGGCTACAGCCAGAGACAGAGCTGGGGACATGTGGGCTTGGTGTGCCCAGCTGGCTGGGACAGGGCGTGGGAGCCACCCCCTCACTGCGCCAGAGCAGCCACAGCCACCTCCACAGCTTTACCCATCCCTTGGGAATACAGGGCTGGAGTGGCCAGGAGAGCTGTGCAAGGGGCAGAGGGGTACATAAAATGCTCTATCAGTGAATTTAATGCCTGGTGATAAAAAGCTTTACCCATTCCAAAGGACGGTGCTTAAACAGATGCTGTTAGTGGTTGTATTTCAAAAGTCAATGGGGCTAAATAAATCTAAAATTTACTTCTACTAAAAGTGTTATGAGGCCAAGGTCTTTTTATTCTTTAGGTGTTCAATTAAGCAAAAATCCAGAGATCTGCTGGAGAATTTAAGACTGCCATGAACAGGAAAGCTTTTTAGTTAAGCTTTCATCTCTTCATGTGAAGAACTAAATTGATGATTTTTAAATAATTTACATCCCAGAAGTAGTGTTAAAAAAATGTCCCAAATGGAGCTAAAAGCATCGTAAATATAATTTCCTGTCAGATTATATGAAATACCCTGATAAATGAACAGCTCTTAAAAGGACACTAACAGTGGACTTGGAAGGTCTGACTCCAGCTTTCTGAAAATGCCAGCTCTGAGCAGCTGCTGTTTGACTTCAGCTCTTCGTGCCCTGAGCAAGCCATGAGATACAGAAGTATGAGTGTGCACTTTTTTCTTTTCTCTGACTTATTACATCAAAGCTTTTTTTTTGAAGAGCCTTATCCATCTAAGAAAAAAAAGGGAAACTAGTCATCAACCCAGAACTTGGGGAAGGGGAGAGAGACATGACTGTTTATCTGCTCAATAAGCATCCTTTTGAACACATCACCAGCTGCCAACAAACGCAAATGTCTTTTATTTTCCTTTCAGTGAGTGCATGTGGGAGGGGAGGAGAGAGAGGAGGGAGTCTGTGTTAGCTCTGCTGTTACACTGCTGAATTAAGACAGCCACCTACCCATCATCTACTTCCAAATCCCTCTTGATTTTCAGACACATCTGACATTTCACAGCCTTCTGTTGCCCATCCTGTTTAAATATTAATGCATCCAAAGGTTCAGATGACTGCAGCCATCCAGAACAGAGAATCAGAAATTAAAAGCAAACAGGCAGAACAAAGCCTGGTAACGAGTGCGTGGTTCTGAACTTGCTGGGAAGGCTGAGATGAGCATACAGTCAGCTTGAGCTGTGAGTCATCCTTTCTTGTTATTAATGCAGTATTTATCAGCACTCACTCCTTTCCTCATGATTTCTGCCAGCTCTGTTTTCACACCACGTTCATCACCACAGCTTTCCTGTTTCTGTGCCCAGCAGGCCCAGCTCGTGTTCTCAGGCTGTGTCCCGTACTCCCATTGTGTCAGCAGCCTCTTTCTCTGGGTGTTGTACTTCTTTTGCAGTTGTTTGTGTTTCTGTGTGATGGGGCAGCAGTGGTGAAATAAAAAGTGACAGCCTGCACTGAGTGTTGTTATGACGCCATCGTTTCCATTCTCAAGCAGATGGAGCCAGCACGGATTGAGCAGCTCTTTGGACACTAAATGGCTTCGGCACGATGGCTGACCTGACCTCTGAGCCCACGACATGGCACTGACCTCTAGAACACAAGGGATTATCTCACTTGTCCTTCTACTGCCACTGGTCTGGTCAGAGGTCGGGGTACTGCTGGACAGGGCTCATGCATCTCTGTTCACACTGCTGACACAGTGCTGCTCCCTGCACTGTCCTGTGCACGAGGAATGACCGTGGGCTCTTCCTGCAGCCTCCAGATCACCAGCACTGAATCTGCATGAAGAACCTGACCTATCCCCAACCCCGCATGGACAGGGACAGCAAAGCCTGAGAAGCACACAACATGTCCAACAGGGACATCCAGCAAACCGTCACAAGAGCTGAGAACAGACACCAAACACTCCCATGACACAGTCCCACCTTCCATGTTGACCTGTCAGCCATGGAGAGAGAGAAAGATAGAACTCTTAGAAGAGGAAAACCACACTCAGGAAAGAGAAGATGCCAAATGCAGACGTTATGGGAAGTGCTCAGTGTTTCCTTCCATTCAGCCTGAAAGTCAGAAATTATAACGGCTGAACCCTAAGGAGAGGAGGATGAAAGGGCTTCGCTCCTGGGCATGTGACACTGCTCCCCTTTGTGGTACCAGATGTGGGGAAAGAGGAGAGAAGAAAAGCAAATCTGGAGCTGAAAGGCTCTTTTTTTCCCCCTTTTTTAAAGAAAGAACAAAATTAAAACGATCCTGAAAGAACAACTCTTCCTTTCAAAGACATTAGTTTGGGAAGCTGGCTGTAAAAGGGTACATTTTTGAAATGTGGCTGCAGTTACCAAGCAACCTGCTCTGCTGGCAGCAGCGCGTCCGAATTCGGGGGAGGCAGAGCCCATGGCTCTGCCCTCCCAGGACAGCGAGTGCCAGCCTGGACAGCTGGCACACCACGGTGTGTGGAGCCAGCACCCAGCATGGCCTCCAGAGCCAGCTGGGCCTTGGGAAGAAGTGAGGAGGGCAAAACAATTGAGACATTGCACTGACAGGGGATGGAGGAACAAGAAGAGGAAAATCTGAAATCAGCCCAGTAGCTGCAGCAGAAGAGCTCTGGATTTATGTGAGCACAACTATAAGCACAATTTGATGTATATTAGTAAAACTAACACAAACAGCAAACAAAATTCTCAATTAACATTCACAGTTCTCATATGCATTGGACACAGTGCAGTGCTTTGGAGGATTTTCTACAGCCCAGGGTTCTAACAGTGGAAAGAAGAAACAGATGCCCTGGGACCCAACTTTCCAGGATGAAAAACCCCCAACTCTGCCTGTGTCCAGATCTTCACTAGAGCTTTCATTCCATTAAATCCACACAAGGATGTCATTACACTGTTCTAATCATGAGCTGTTTTGTTACATCCATTACTGTTCTAAATGGGAATTAGGCACAATGTGCACTTAATTTAGGTTATGAGTTGAGCTGGAAAAAAATCTAAGCGTATATCCAAGACAAAGAGCTGAGATGTTTTATTTCCCCCCATTGGGGAAGAGAACTGGCCCCAAAACTTCAAAACCTCACACTGTCCCAAAGGTCTCCCGGCAGCCTCTGCCCCCAAATTGTCCTAAGCTGCCTGGTGCTGAGGGCTGGGTTCAAACCTCTTGGCTCAAAGCATTAACAGAAAGACTGGGGTTAAATGTTGTTTGAGACACCTGAGGATGCTAATAAACAAACTGGCATTAGAGGGGGTTCAGTGCAGCGGGGCTCTAGTTTTACAAAGCCCATCAGTTTGTCTGGGCTTCACCTGTGTTTAGAAATGGAGGCAGAGCAGCTATGAGACCCCCAAACAATAGCTTGTTTTCATGTCAAATGTGTGCAAACAGCTCATATGTCAAAGTGACAGCAGCTCCCCGGGATGCTGCTCTCACCCAGCAGGTCTCCCTGGTGCTCTCAGGGCAGACCTGCCAGGTGTCCCTCCTGCAGCGAGGGGCCCGAGCGCCCGTGCCTGCCACGCACACCTCTGCTGCCCACGCACGTGCTGTGGGGCCCATCAGGAGTTTGGTACTTTCTCAGCACAGCTTTTGTCACTGAGAATGCTGACTGCATTTTCTGCCACTGCTTCACCTGGGCACAGTCCTGCAATTCTATTGATTTAGGCCCCAACCCAGCACATTTAAAAATGTCATTACATTTAACATTTGATTAATGTAATTTCAGTAAAACTAAATTAATTTCAGTTTTTTACAGCCTTAAAGCTGTACACCCACATGAAGGTTGGATGGGTTGTAATCTAACAGATGCACAACTTCTTGGGGTTGAGAATAGACCTTCACCCATTAGCATTTTAAAATTTGAATGTTACATTGCTAAGCCTCAGGGTTTTCAGTTTATCAAAATTCAACAAATCACTCTAGGACTGCAGCCCTATCAGTCCATCAGGTCACAGAGAACACTGGTTATGAGCAAAAAGCACTTCAGTTGTTCATGTTGAGCTGAACAACCAGGTTCCTTTTCTCCAATGTCACGTGGAGATAGGAAAGCCAAGTGTCATTTAAGAAGTATCAGCATCCCATTGTGGGGTTCAGACCCCACTCTTGGGGTGCAGTGCATGGAGAGGTGCACACCCCTGCATCTCTCATGTCCATGGGACCTGTCAGAGCATGAAGCAATGTGCAGCATACTGAGGGGAAACGGGATCAGTCCCCACGTGGCATCCCAACTCCCTCTTTCCTCCCATATCAAGAAAGCCAGGCAGGTGTTGGGTCTGATGTTTCTGATCCACGCTCTGGCACAGAGAAGAACCAAGGGTCGGTCCCATAACCACATTCTGTTTTGACTCCCTTCACAGGTTTCATTAAATATGTGTACACCATAGGGTATTTCAAAGCCCTAGGCAGGGGTGCAGCCAGCCCCCATTTAAATGCATGTGCTTTAAGAATAATTATCAGTTGCTCCATCTCCATGTGAAGCAGCAGCAGGACGGAGCTGGAACCTGCAGGGAAGGCGGCAGTGCAGGCAATCCTGAGGACACCAGCAACTGCCTTTCAGCTCTCACATTTATAAATAATTTATTTCCAGCCACCTGTGCCCAGAATAACAATTTTCTGCCTGAAATCTCCAAGCTGGTGCTGGGAGGACGTCAGGGGCTCGCTTTCCCGGGACCGCCTGGACCTGTTGGGAAGGGGTCCGGGTCTCCAGAGGGGCAGCTCTGAAGGGATGTGCCCCTAGCGGGAAGAGGCACGAGGAACAAACACGGAGCATCCGTTCAGCTGATCGCATTAGGGCTTCTCGCTGCTGCTGCTGCCACTCAGCTCTCTGCCGATGCAGCCATCCGTGCGTTTGGACAAACACCCAGGCAGGGGGAATGGGTAGGTCTGGAAACGTCGGCAGCTGCAGAAGGCTGCAGAGCTCTGCCGTGAAGCTGCCTTAGAGGAGAGGCTGCTTCCCCGGGCAGGGCAGCGTTATGAAACACGAGCGCTCTGGCTGTGCCTGAGGATTTTGGCAGCGCGGCGCGGACGCTGCTCCCATCCTGCCTGGTGGCGCAGGAGGCCATGGAGCGGCTCCCTCCGGCCGGCCCCCGCAGGGCGCAGCACCCCGGCGCCCCGGCCCGCTGAGCCGCAGGGAGCCCCGAGAGCCGCAGGAGCCCCGAGAGCCGCAGGAGCCCCGGAGGGACGCGGCGGCCGCGGTGAGCAGTGAGCGGGGCGCGGGGAGCGGTGAGCGGAGCGGGGCTCGGAGCGCGGAGCGGGGCGCGGAGCGGTGAGCGGAGCGGGGCGCGGAGCGGGGCGCGGGGGCAGCGGAGCCGCAGAGCCCGCACGGCTCCGCGCGTTCCGCGATCACCGCTCTGCGCGCTGCCAGCGGAGGCAGCGGCAGCATTAGCAGGGAAGGGCAGAGGGAGCAGGGTTGATCAGCTTTTCGGATATGCATTACGGCCTTTTGTAACGTTTCACTGGATTGTACAGGACTTTGCCTGGCTACCCCAGGGGCTCCTCAGCCACAAAAGAAAGGTGAGGTTTTTCCTCTTTTTCTTACACCGTTCGGTATCTGCCTCTGCGAGCCGGGTGCCAGCTGGCCTGGGCACGAGCAATAACCAGACAACTTTTTCGAGACTGAGGTATCAGCATTCATTGCAGTCTCAATGACCATTTGCTTTACTAAATTAATCCACAGCATCTAAGTAAAGGGGTTGAGCGGCATTATTTACAAAGACTGCAGGTTGCTCTCGAGATGCCCTTCCCCAAGCATCTATGGAACATTATACTTGAAAAGTCAGCAATGGATACTGCAAGTGTGTGTGTGTTACAGCCTAGTGAGGCAGGCTGGAATGCTCAGCTTCTCCCATCAGTTTCTGGAGTATCACTGCTGAATAAATAGACTCTATCAATGTTTAGTAGGTGAATGTTGCAGAATTCAGATATTGAAGGGTTTATTAAAGACACTTCTACAACACCTACGATTAAGTTACAGAGCTGTGTGTTATTTTAATTCTAGTAGATTTTCTTGCACACAGGGAAAGATCTCATCTGTAGATCCTGTGGGCTAAAGCAAACGTAAATATATGGTACACTTGTTACAACATTCTTGTGCAAAACTTCAGCCACAGACCACATAGGAGCTTTTGGAAACTGCAGATAGAGCATCATTTGCTGGGTGGTTGATCTCTTAATACCTAAGAAAGTACATCATGCATGAATTATTGCTAATTAAATACTTTTGAGATACAGTAATAGTTTGCTGAAAGCTTTCCATGTATCAGAGAATGGTGACAGCAGACTGTATATTACCTCTGGAGCACACATCACTGTTTACAGGGTGCACACACATGGATGTGGATACACATGTACACCTGGAAAGTGGGTATGCATGTGTCTGCATGCATCTCTTCCATTCTGGCATGGAATTAGTCCTGCTGATTACTGCATTATGACTTGAGCTAGGTAAAAAGTGTGGGATTAATGGAGAAATACCATGGTGTGATCTCTGCTCAAGCTGTCCCTGAGCACTTTCCAAGTCAGCACTCTCACAATAAGCCTTGCAGGACCATCTGCCTCCCACAGGCTTCTCTGCATCCCTCACCTCAGGCTCAACATTATTGTCTGGATTTATACCTATGTATGCTAAAAAATTGGTCTTAAAAAGCCAAATATCTGGTGAAAGAGCCACTGGGACAGGATTTGCACAAGTTAGTGCCAACTTCTCCAGCCTCAGGCTGCAGCTCTGCTCTGTGGCATTGCCTTTCCCTTCCGAAGCTGAATTATCTGTCTCTGTAAAATGCCTCCTCTATTGAATAAACAGAGTATAATATATATTTTAAATTTGTGTTACTTTCAGCTTGATTTGGGTAAATGGACTATAGAGTTTTGCTTCATCTTTCTGCTAGCTCCACATAAAGATTTTTTCTTATTTATCACAGTTCAGTGTTATTTAAAGGTTTTAACACAATCTCACCATCAAAGATAATTTTGCAATCTGATTACATCTTGTAGCAAGCAGTGGCAAACTCACTGGAGAGCCCTCTCAAGCTGCAAGACTTGTCACCACATCATGTGGAGAAATTTGCGTGCTTCTACCTAATTTCCAGCTTGTTGGCAGACCTCCCTTGCTGGGAGAGGTGTGGGGTCAGCACAGACACATCCTCTAGCAAGGAAAACTTTGTAAGTTGTAAGAAGTGCTTGAAGTTTCTCGGAATGATTGGAATAAAGGGAACTGCAAATAGTTGACAGAGTCCCAACATCAAATCTGTGGCTTTGTAAGAGTTTTACTTCCTGTGTGCATTCACACAATTTGATATTTGTCTTGACTTCCCAAAACACTGAGAAAATGGCAGTGTATATCCAAGGAAAAGGCTGCAAGACAGAATCCTTTAGCTGAGGCCTGACTGCATTTGTCTTCAAAGAAAGCTGACAAAAGAAAGGAGAGACATGGAAGAGGGATGGATTTTTCTAAAAATAGTAATCATGAGTCCAATTCCCTTCAGTTTACAACAGGAAACATCATCTTGCTTCCTTGCCAACAACTCTGAATTTGCAAAATCCTGCTAGTCTTTAGACAAGGACCAACTCTTGATGACCTGCAGCTGTCAGAGCAGCACTGACCCGAGCTTCTGCACTGAGCACACATCAAGGGACAGTCCCCAGTTAAGCAGCCCTTCACCTGCGAGTCTGGGGCTGTTTTTTAGTGTCTTCAGCTTTACCAGCATTCATGGCATCACTGAAAATATTCAGTCTTCCCTTAAAAATTCTGTAAATGCTCCTTCAGCTAGGAGAGTAGAATTGCTGAGAACTTTATCATGTTTCTTTTATTTCTCTCTGCAAATACATTAATGCAGCTGCCTAGTGTGATATCCTCTGTCACATTTTGCGAGTTCATTTCGGAAGCAAGGTACTGATCTGCTTTTCCTTATAGCAACTGTTTTGGTGGCAAGAGATCCTTTCCCTGCTGAAGTCCCAGCACCCTGTAGATCTGTGCTTCCACTCACCATTTCCAAAGCTGATAATTTCCAGTGCTAATTGTTGCCCTTTTTTCAGTGCAGTGTTAACCCTTTCATTGCCCTCTTCACCTAGAGGTCTCCTCTGCCATTTAACAGTTCTCACTGCCCATCAATTACCCATCATTGTCCTTTCAATAATAATTTTATGATTTTACTAACAACTTCCAATTCTTATGGTCCTAAGCCCCCTTTGGCTGTGAGAGCTGATAAAGAAGGATAGAAGACTTGTTTTCTTCCATTTAGCTTCATTCATTTTAGGTGAAATATGCATGAAAAAGACAAATGCCGCATTTTCTATTACAGATACTAGTTATTTCCTCCTTAGTCTTTCCTTTTAAATATCATCATCAGAAGTGATGCACTTCAGCTCTTTTAGGCATACTTTGATGATATTGCAATATGCAGTTTATGGATAAATCAAATGACAGTTTTTATTCCAGCAGCACTTTGCTATTTCCCCACTAAAAAGCAACATTTAATTTTTGAGTTGCACGTTTGCAGCAGTGGTTGTGGGCGGAGAGTCTGCTTATTTATTTGGTTGGGTTTTACTAGAATGTACTGTCATGGCAACTGCTCTAAGGGTGAGTGCATCTGGAGGTAATTCGTACACATCATGTTGAATGCAGCAAAATTGCCTTGTACCATTTAAACTTTCTCAGCCACTGGGCAAGGGCAAAGTTACCCCTTTGAGACTCCGAAGCAGCTTCTCCTTACTAAACAGACAAATACATAAACAAACTTGGCATAGCACCAGGAGCAATGCCAAATATTTCTTGATGTTTGGTTGCAGAGTCTGCTGCACAGTTAATTTAGGTCCAATACCTTGGGTGTTTTCACCAGTTCTGCTGATGCACAGAAAGCTTTCCATCGTGTTCATGGGGAGGCAGAACATTCTGCCCTGCCCAGGTGCTGTTTGGGCAGGCCTTGGCCAGACTGGTCTCTCTTGGTTCCAGGAGGCGTTGCCACGTGCTGCCCAGGCAAATGCCAGATCCTCTCACCCTGGCATTGATGTGGTCTCCAGGTGTTCCATTTTACATCACTGCAAGCACAGAGAAACTCTATCAAAATCCACTGACCAGCCACACAATTGGTGTTAAAAGGGACTGAATTTGGCCCATGATGCAGTTTCAAGCATAACATGCATGGTCTTGATAGCCCTTCTCCAGCCAGGGAGCTCCAGCTGTCCCAGCATGGCCTCTCCAACACCAGCAACAAGGACTCATCTGAGAACTTGGGGCTGAAGCATCTCTCTCGGTGAATAAACCAAAAGAGCTGTGAAATCCTGAATTACAGATGGGAGGAAATGACTGCAAATCTGATATATTTATCTAGTCTTATCTTTCTGCTGCGGGGGGAAATCTTAAACCTTTTGCACGGGTGTGTGACTGCAGCCATTGCCATCTCACACTGAGGGTTTGCTGTAGCTTCCCTGGGCAGGGCTGCCTGGGGCAGCGTGGAGAGCTGAGCCACACGGGCACCTTCCCTGCTGAGCCAGCCTCACCTCGAGGTTCTGCACGGAGCACGGGCACCCCCAGCCTGAACCTCAGCTGGCTGATGCCTGCACAATGCTTGCTTTCAGCTCACACAGCCTCCACTGGGAACAGCTCAAGTTTACGGTGGCCCCATGGCAGGAACAACTAGTGAATGAAATCCCACCTGTGCTCATAGACAGTATTTCTTCGGATGAATTAGTGCAGTAACATCCTGCAGGATCTAATTATGGCTAATTTTCCATTCATTTGTCTCAGTACATCTGACCCTTTTACTGCGATTCTTGAGCACTCACAACATTGATCAGAGATTTAACTCTAAGGGTCAGCTCTTTAGCTGGTGTAAATCAATGCATTTTCTTTGGCTTTGGAGCTGATCCGAAGGGAAGTGTGTAACTTCTGCTGCAGAGAGAGCAGTCAGAATTCACTGAAGATGCTGCAGCCTGGCAGTGCTTTGCACCTGCTTGTGCTCACCAGCCCTTGGAGAAAGAGTAGCAATCAGCACATTGAATACTTCTGGATATTACTCAGTCCTCTACAATTAAAATCAGCATACTTGTACTTAAAAAAAATACCAGTAATAAAAGTACATAAATCAGGTCTTCAAGATCACCTGGATTGTAAGATTAAAGACAGAGACTCCTGGCTTGTGACAGCCTCATTTAGGAATTAAGGCTAAAAGGTCACACAGAAGGAATTCAGGCTGAACTGACAAAAGATTTAACTGAGCCTTAATTTAATTTTGTCCTTGAAGTTTTGGATCTTTGGTTTGGTTGCTATCTAAGACAGAAAGAATTTGCATAACCAAATGAAAAGGAGAATTGGTGAAGACTAAATTGGTAACATTTCTTTAATAAAGCAGCATAAATGAGCATCGACAAAACTTTAAATCAACAACTGAAACAAGAAACAGTGAGCAGATGTTCGTCGCCAGGACTGTGGATTTCAGGAGTGTGCCCCAACTGCAAGCTAAGCAAAAGTCATAATATTTTCTTTTCTGGAAAACACTGCATCTTTTCTCAACACTTGCCTGGCTCCACAGAGAAAGGATAGACTGGGAAAACAGGAATTTATGTGGAGATGCCAGCTTTTATTTTCCACGGGAGGTTAAAGGTTCCCCAGAGTACAAAGGAGCTTTTCTTGCCCAGACAATCCCATCGTGGTACACATCAGCACAACTAAAGCTACAAAGCTCAGCAACAGTCAAGAGAGATCTGCTGAACTTGAGCTGAATTTTTTTTCAAATATTCACTAGTTTTTCTCCACACACATTCCCACATCAACACCTGGCAATATGAATTCACTAAAAAAAAAATATAGTGGGATCTCTGGTTTCTGTTAAAGCAACACACACAGAACCTCCAAATATCCTTCCAACATAAAGCCCAACTTCTTTGTGCTGCACAGAGATTAATAATTATTATCTTATCTATTGTGAGTTGATGCAATTTCTTTTTTCCTCCCACACACCCACACTTCTGTTTCCTTCTGATCTTCATTTGTAGCTGAGCTACTGTTTAGCTGAAAGGGAGGAATTTGGTAATACCTCCCTAAAAAGATGCCTGTTCATCCAGTGACAAAGGATGGAGATGTTGGCTATTGATAAAAGAAAATAAAGAACTTATTTTCCAAACATCCCAAGAGAAATAACCTCATCATTAAGGTATTTCTTGTGCATTCCAAGTTAAAAGAAAGAAACGAAAAAGTCTGAAGATCTGAAACTCGCTTGAGCTCAATCAATCGTTCTCATTTGACTATAGTTCTTAACGTGCATAATTATAAACAACAGATGGAGAAATGCTCAGATAAAGCCAAAAAGGGTGGGTGGGGGAAAGTCACCCTGATGGTGGATGTTTTCAATCTGGATGTGAACCAGCCTTACACCCCTTGGTCTTTCAGGTTTCAGCATCGGCAGCTCGGCAGGGCACGATGAAGGCATCAGCCCAGGAGCCCACGGAGCCCCTGGGCCAGCTGGGCGCCTGAGGCTGGCAGCAGTGCCACACCAGCCTGGTCTCTGCTGCAGCCAGCTGGGAGAAGCTTTTATTCAGGAGCAGGCACCGAAGTGATGGGCTGAACTTATGGGAGGAATGAGTGTCTGGCCAGGCGAAGATTTGGAGGCCTGTTGGGAAGCGTGAAGGGCCAGTTTCAGTAAGGGCATGGCCAAAGCTTTCTTCAGGCTACAGAAGTTTCTCCGTCGGATCCAGTTTCTGCTCTTCTTCCTCACAGCAGCTTACCTGATGGCTGGCAGCCTCTTGCTACTGCAGCGGACCCGCTTGGTTCTCCAGCAAGGTTCGCGTGGGACCCCCAGTAACCAGGCCCTGCCGGTGCCTGAGGAGGTGAGCAGGGAGGGGGTCACTGAGCCCAGGAGCCTGCAGAGCCCCCGGCCCGGCCCCAGGCTGTTGGTGGGCATGGATGCGCTGCAGGAGCCGGCCCTGCACCAGCAGCACGGCCCGCACTGGCTCACGTCCCGCAACTCGGAGCTCAGGCAGCTGAGGAGAAGGTGGTTCCACAGGCTCAGCAGCGACCAGGAGCCCCTGCAGACAGCAGGATTTAAAGCAACGAAGCGCACTGCTGAACACAAAGGTAAGGGACGGACCCTGCCCGTTTTCTGGCACACGCATGGGCTGCACTTTGCTGATCCCAAGCTGACGCAGGCGAGCACCAGCAGCTCTGCCTTCCTCCTTGCTCATCACCACTTTCAAAACAGTTCTTAGCATATGCCCAGGCCAAAGTAGAAAGGATCCATGCTGGGTGACTGCTGTGTCCTCACTGCAGCAGCAAAGTATGAGCTGTAATCTTTGATGCTTTGCCTTTTAGAAGAACTTGTTGCTCTTAGAGATGTTTCACTGATAATAAAACAGGAATGGGATCTGGATGACTAGACACCACATTTCAGAACTGTGTTTTAGTTTGTTGAATAAATTTGCCTAAACAAAAGGGCACAAAATCCCACAAAATGGGTGCACATCGTGCTACTTACTGAGGGAATTGTCAGAAATGGGAAAGAGAAGGTGATAGTGGTGGGAGATGAGTCATACAGTGTGAGTCAGGCAAACTGAACTGCTGGAGCTACCTGAAGCTCCAAGGTGGAGCTGCTCCACAGATGCTTCAGAACACCCTGCTGGTGGCAGATTTTGGTGGCAGAGGAGAGACTGAGAACTGCTCAGCCAGGGCCTTGCTGAGGTTCTAGCTACTGATGAGAGGGGCCAGAAGAACTATTTATTTGTACATCTCACCATATTGAACTGTAGATTCAAATACACATCATTTGAATATCTGATTGAACATGAAAGAACATTATTAATAACAATATTGTTAACAAGCATTGGAATGCCTTTGAAGGTAATTAATTAAAACTTAACTACCTACGTAGAGCATGTTATCTTCTCCAATTCATTTCTAGTAAACTTAGAGGCTTGTTATTTCATTATGGATCCCTTTCAAGACCTAATGAACTCCTCTGTGCTTATAATGCTTAATGATGTTTCAGTGAAGCCCTGTGGCTCCTGCTTAGTAGAGCAGCGTTGTGTGGCCATGGAGGCTGGGCTGTGCACCCCTCATGGGTGTCACCCTCAAAGGCTGTGGCTCCCAGGCAGTACAGCTCTGCCCCAGGGGCTGCTAGCCAAGCACCCTTAACCCAAGCCACAAATGATGACATGTCCCCAGCCTGTTGTGAACATCCCAGATCACTTTGCCTCGCTCTGTCTCCACCCAGGAGCACCTGGCCTTTGGTGAGAAAATCCAAGTCCTTTTTTTCTCCAGGTCAGGCTATCTCACCTGCTGACATTGCAAGTGGCTCAGGATAGGGACCACAATTTTCCTGACAGAGACACTGAGAAATACTGTTAGTACAACTGTGAGAGTTTTCTATTCTGATTGCTCCCAGTGGATGGAGTTTTCCAGTTCCCCATGCCTGGTTCTGCTGTTGAGCACGATGCAGAGGTGACAGGGACTGTGTGGCTGACATGCTGCTCTGAGACTGTGGCATCTCTGTAACTCAGTCATGGCAGGATGTGAATGAGAAGCTGCTGCCAGGCTGGTGGTGGCTTGGGAGGGACACGGGGAGGAGAGCACACGGTGGCTGGCCTGCCCAGCACCCCCCAGGCTCTTTGGCCCCACGTCCTCAGTTTTCTGCTGCTACAGGTTTGAGCCAAAGTACCCAAATCAAAAGTCTCCAGTAAAATGTGGAGCATCTTTGTTGCAAGTGCGTGACTCTCACGTCGTTAATGGTGTGCTGGGGGTGGGTATTCACAGCTTGTGAATTTTCTAATTACACATTGGCAAATTACTGTGTGCAGGTCTTTGAATCTACTGTTGTGTTTGTGATATTTAAATGTTTGAGTTATTATTCCTGGCTCAAAAATCCCTGATGGAGCAACTCAAACTTCCTTTTTCTTGTGAATTAGTTAATATAATGCTTTTTATTTTAATTTTTCCTATCCACATTATTTAATGTGTGATTACATTATTTAATTTCCCTGTGTTATCATCTCAGTGTTGTTATTTCTAAAATAAAATTTCCTTTTTTCCTTCATATTTTGATGATAAAATGTACTTACAGACATACAATTGCTGTATAATAGTGGGACTCCACATCATCGTTCCAATTGTATATTAAAAAATGGGCTGGATTTTTAGAGTATTTTGTTCATGACAACAAAAATTAGGCTGAGCACTGAATGCAGTCTAAGAGAAACATTTATCTTTCCTATGCTAAGTAAAGCGAGACATATTTGAAGAGATTCCTTTGCACCAGAGAGGAGATAGCTCAGTGTGATGGCTACATTGTGCTGCCTAGTTAAAAGTGAATTTATCTTTCCATTACAGCTTTAATGTAACTCTCTATATCCAAAGAAAATTGATTTTCTTAATATTTCTCTTGCACCATCTCATTATCAACTAGAGATTTTAAAGAACACTTGGGAGAAATCCAACAGGATTTCTGGAAGTTTTTGGCATTTGAAGGCTCCATTCTCCTGTACTTTAGAGAAGTGCCGTGTTTTGTCACCCAGAGGAGGGAGTTGAGCAGACAGCAGCTGCGTGCAGGAGCTGCAGTCCTGGTGGGTTGTGGACTCTGGGTATGCAATGGGCGTGGAAGGGAAAGTCTCGTTTCCTTTTTTCCCATTTCCACGGGACAGGGGTGGGACCCCAGACAGGTTGGGACTTGACCAAACGCAGCCCTGCTTGCAGCGTGAGGCACTGGATAAGCCTGGGATGGATTTTTCCCTTCTGTGCCAGGTACATTGCCTAACCCTGGTCTTGCATGCACACAGGCACCTACATGGGCTGCTTCACTCATGATTCGAGGGAGAGGACTCTGAAGGGAGCTGTCTTTTATGACTTAAGAAAAATGACAGTAGCTCACTGTCAGGAAGCTTGTGCTGAGAGGTGAGTGGTGTTTTTTCACTGCAATTTTTCTCTTTTTTGACAATAAGTGGAACTGAATTTGAAATGGGAAGAGCATTCCTATGTTAAACATACAGCATCTATGAAAACAGTGATTATCTCATACCTTCAGGCACAGCATAGCTCTGCTTGAAGCGGACTGATGCACTGCTGTCTATTCTCTATGGCACCATGGCTACTTACATTATATTCTCTATTGTCCTGGACAAAAATGACTGTTAGGTTAAATAGTCTTTGTAAGATATCTATCTTTTGATAGACATTGGTCTCTAGCCCATATCTTGTTGAGGGGCTGCCCCTGCTGAGGAGGCCATGCTGTCTCCAGGATGGACTCAGCTCCAGAGCAAGGCAGCAGGAGCACGGGGACATGGGGACCGGCTCGTCCCTATCTCAGGTACAAGCTGGGCAGCAGATGGGCCTGTCTGACAGTGCTGCATTTCTGCTTGCAGGGCTTACAGCTACGCGGGCCTGGCCTCCGGAGCAGAGTGCTACTGCGGGAACTCGCTGCCGGCCGCGGCCGCCCAGCCCCAGGAGTGCAACAGCGAGTGCAGGGGGCAGAGGGGCTCCGTGTGCGGGGGGCTGCACCGGCTCTCGGTCTACAGCCTGGAGCAGCTGCGGGCAGCAGCCAGGACACGTAAGTGGGGTGTGACCGGGCACACGAGGCCACAGGCAGAGCACCGGGGCTGTCCCTTATGCTTGTCTCGCTCCGTTTGCCACCAGAGTTTGAAGCAGCAAAGGACAAAGGTGCCTGAAGGGCACAATGTCCATTTGCTGCTGGTCTGGTCCCTGGCTCCTCCCCAGAATAGCAGTGCTGCTCACCACCCCAGAGCAGGGACATGTGCCTGGCACGCTGCCTCGGGGCTGAGGTTCCTGTCACCAGGGAGGAAACTCAACGCAGTGCAGAGTGACTGCAACAGGAGCGCAATTTCAGCTGAAAAAACACTCCCTCTGGTACCTACTGAAGGGGTATAAACCCACGTGTGTTTAAGAAATAGCCTTGGAAGAGGTGCCCTGTAACAGGAGGGCAGAAAAGGACTCAGATCAAGGCCACCCTATGCTCAGATGATCCTAACCAAAATGAGTAATCTGTGACTGCGAGGAATAAATGGAGGCCAGAAAGAGCCGTATCAATCCCTTTTCTGAGAGAAATGAGACCAGAGTTTTGCTTTTCCATGGAGTTCTGTTCCAGCAGGAGTTGGGAATTTTGTTCCATCTTTAGATAGTCCATCGTTACCCCATCGTTCAGTTAGCTGCCATGGGGGACTCTATGGATAAACCTTTAGGCAAGCACAAAGCACATAAGAGATCTAAACTGTTGATCACTCTTTGCAATTGGCAAGCTCACAAGACCTTATGGATGTTATTTGCTGAGAAGAAACACCAAGACCTTAGGTTGTGCCAGTATTGATGGTCCTTCATTTCTTCTTAAAGACAAGTCAAGGTTTGTACAATAATCCAACCAGCTACATATAAATTATATATCAAAGGTACACAGACCTAAATTGCTACTGTCAGGCTGACAGGCATGTTGGCAGGTTTCCCAGGACATGCATTGCTGTTTAAACCCCCAGTATGAAATATGTATACATATTTCTCAGGAAAAGACAGCATTTAATTTTTTTTAAGTATTAATGAATTACTCCTCAAATTAGTCTAGCCTGAAGCTAGAGTTGTAATTTTCTTGCCCTTAGTAATACCTGATAGTTGTCTGTTTGAAGAATCCCCCTGACACAAACCAGCTGAGGGGCCAACAGAAGTATTAATCACAACGAACAAGTATGTTAGAAAGTAACTCTGAGACTGTAAAGGCCCCCGTGATTTACGCTGTGTACTGTAGAGCACAGACCTCATATAAGTCTTTTACGTGGAGCAGATTCAGTGGCATCTCCACTTAAACCTTCCCAGACAGGTTTGCTCTCTCCCCTCTCCCCACTGTGGTTCCCCAGATTCCTGAGGGACATGGTTCCCCCATGTCATGGTAAGGAAGCCCAGAGTGTGCAGCTGTGGCAGCCAGGGTGGATGTGGCAGAGTCCTCAGGTGGCATGCCTCAGGGTGTCCTTCCCCCCAAAAAGTGGGCAGACCACACAGACCCAGCTGTTTCTGGTGTAATCCACAGATACATCCTGCTCCCTCCTGATGCTGGTGTAGGCAGGTCAAGCTTTCTTCCTGACTGCTGAGAAAACTCTAAACATGTTTGCAAACATTTTGTTTCAGGAATTATATCAGTGTGAGATTTAGTATAAGACCTTTCAAGAACATCCTGAGAAGTCCCAACACTCCTTTTATTCTTTGGTGCCATGCTCAAAGGGACCTGGTCCTAAGTAGACTACTGTTTCTTTCAGCTTGGGTGGAGTTATTTTATTTTCACATCACCTGAGTCATCCCAGAGATCCAGCTCTGCTTCTAGTAAATGATCTGAATAGTTACAGGAACAAAATTTAAGCAGCTTCTCCTTAGATTGCTCTAGGCTCTTGCTAGAGAGTCTGGGCTTTTCTGCCAAGAAATTAATGCAGAACCAAATTTTTTTTTTTGTAACTGCACCACGTCTCTCCTGTCATTCAACTCACTTCCCACATCAGTTCTGGCAATACCATTTAAGGGAGCAATAGTGCCAGGCTCTGTGGTGTTTCTACAGAAGCAGGTGAAATCAGAGGCTGGTGCTGAAGACACAGAGGAAGCTGATCTCCCTGAGCAGCTGACAAAAGCCAGGGTTAGAGTCTGAAGGGCTGCAGCCTACTCCCTTGGCCCGAAAAGGCGTAGGAGCAGAGGGCAGCTGAAGAGGAAGGTGGGTCTGATGGCGGGGTTTTCAGGAGTCATTCTGATGCAGAAGCTTTGTAGATTTTTATTAGGGCTTTTAACTCATTGTGGGGAAAGCAGGTCTTCAGAGGAAACTGGGACCTGCAAACAATAGCAATGCCCTCCACTGGTGGAATTTCCTTCAAACTCGGTGCTGCAGTGAGCGCTGCTTCCCGTGGTTAGTACAAAGATAAAGGCATGTGCTCCTTTCAATACCACACAATTTGCAACACATTTTTGTAGCATACATTACAGTTTCTCTTATTTCTGCAGCCTTTGTAATATAAAATTTATTTTATTATTTTTGGCTTCTGAACTAATATTATTCTTTGTGAAAGAGGCGGGATACTACGGATGTCGTTTTCTTAAGAGAAACCTATTTCATATCCCCGCAGGGAGGAATGTTATCTATCGAGGATGTTTTAGAGCTCCAGAAAATTTAACAGACACCTTTCCAGCCTCTTTGATACAGCCCAATTTGACGGTGGAGATGTGCTCTGAATTTTGCTCCAAGAAAGTAAGAACAGTTCTCATTTCACATCCTTTCTTTTATTGTTATTTTAAATTCTAATCTGCTGAGGGGAGGACAGAGATTAGTGCCTTAGAGCTTTGAATTTGCAAATGAGTTTCTAAAGGACAAAACTCATCAGAGTAAATACCCAGTGATGCATCTGGTCCAACTGCTGGAGTGGGGATGGCGGGAGGGAAAGTCATCAGAGTGGTGCCACGAGACATGATACACAGGCGAGCTGCTCTAAGTAATGAGTATCGACCAAGAGGAAATCGATACCGTTTCCGTGTCACATTCCAATCAAGCCCTGAGCCACATCTGCCCCCGCTGCAGCTCAGGGGGAGACATGCAGCCAGAGGGTGGATGTGGGCTGGCAGCATCCCAAACGGGGCTCCAGTGCCCTCCAAGGGAGCCGGCTCCACTCAGGGAGCCATACACAGAGCACCAGCGCAGCCTCTGCCTTAGTGGCTGTTGGTTCCCTTCCCTTCCTCCCCACTCTAATGGGGCTGGGTGTCTCTACATGGGGTTCACTAAATGGTCAGATTTTGCCTGCAGCCACATTCAGCCTCATGCACTGAACTCAACATTCAATTACTTTTTGCAACATCACAAAATTGATTAAAACTATTAGCTGGCTGATTACAGTGCTTTGAACAGGACCCATGGCCTGACTGCAATCTCCTCTCCCACAAAATAGGCAAATAGCCTCAAGTTGCACCAGGGGAGGTTTCGATTGGATATTAGAAAAATTTTGAGATTTCTCATGCAAAACCCACTCCAGATTTTCTCCTTCCTCACTCATGTGCTGCCCAAGCTGTGGGAAGGTTGTGCAGGTGAGGGTCAGCCTGCCCTGGGGACAGATACTGCACCACTGGCACCCTGCATGACCACCTTCTGGAGATGCAGGAGGACAGAGGAGCAGTTATTCTGTTGCCTCACAGAACCTCCAGCCTTCCAGAAAAATTCATCACTTGCAGAGGCCACTTGGCATGAGGTACAAGGAACACTCTTATTCTAGGCTGTGTTTGAGGGCAGGGATACTTACTAATTTCTCAAACTCAGAAACACTGCTTCATTTTAAAGGAAAAAATTCTGTTTGCAGGCAAACCCAGAACTGTTTTGCCCTTGGATCAAATCTGTAAATAGTTTTTGACAATGTCATATCTCATTCGCTAAGTAAATGTTGGCTGTTGGGCACACACAGCACATGAGTTGCATTCGACTCCTTATCAGAGGATGAATGCATGGGAAAAGCAAGAGATAAGCTGCTCAGCAGTCCTGTCACATGCTCCCAGTCTCCAAAAGACTTTTAAAAGGCAAAAAGTGTTGATATGGAATAGATGGACTGGAACATTCTGCACTCAAATACTCCCTGAACTTCCTTCAGCCCGCCCACGCAGCCCTGTGCCACCAAGAGAGCCCACGGGGGACTCTAAGGCAACCCAGATCTTTCTGGTAAACAGTAGAAAATCTGAATTTTAGGGCCAGTAGGCAACTGCTAATTTCTTCAGCAAATATTTAGCACATTTCCCTCAAACTTGTTTTAATTTTTACCATTATTAGGCCAGCAGCTGGGGTTCAGTACCCCACCACTACACAGCTTTGCAGCCTTGGTAATATTGGTACACCAAAACCTGACTTACTCTGCATCAAATCCATTAAAAAACACTTCTTACAGACAAGAATTTTCCTTAGGAATTTACTCCTTGCAAACAACACTAACTTCCTCGTGATTGCACACCTTAGTGGGCTTCCTATCTAGAAGCAAGGTGAATTTCAAACTTTACAAACACGAAGACAGTAACAGGAAAGTAGCGTGAGCTTTAGAATGACAATGCTTTGATCTTGACAGTGAATCTTTATCTTGGCGTTGTGAAGATTTATTTTCTTTGCATGGCAGCAGCATTCCCTGCAGGCTGCTGATGCCATGGCATGTGCGCTCTGATCTACTTTCCCCTTTTGCAGGAGTTCCCGTTGGCAGTGATCCGAGGGCAGGAGTGCTACTGTGGGTACCCCACCAGGCGCTTCCCGCTGCGCGAGGGCATGGACGGGCAGCGCTGCAGCGGGAGCCGCAACGCCAGCAGCGCTGCTGGGGGAGAGTACTGCCTGGTCTATCAGACACCTGTGCAAGGTACCAGCTCCAGCTGCACTCTGCCAGGGCCACCGCTGCTGCAAACAGTCCCCGTGCCCCTTCTGCAGTGGGTAAAAGTGATCTCATTTGCAGCAGTCTGAGCCACAGTAGTGGGTATCGCCATACGGGCAGCAATTTAGGAAACAGTCTTTCTCTAAATTCCCCTCTTGCAATCATGCTCGTGAAGATGCATCTTTCCATTCTCTCATTACGCAACACCTTTTAAAACAACTTGCTGGCAAGTAGAATGGTTTGTTGCAGCTTTATCAAAAAAGCATTGTCTTACACAAAACCAGCAGAAACCTCTTTGAGGAAAATCTCTTTGGCCTCATACAGCTGAATTAATTTTAGGAAGTAGCTGACTCACAACCAGACCAAATTGATATGCTATACTACTAAGAGAGAGAAGGAAGAAGGAATAAACTGTAATCAAGAGCTGTCTGTGGAATTATTAAAAAGCCACAATACTAAAAATGAAGTATCTTCTCTCCTCACAGACACCCGCTGCACGGACAGGAAATTCTTAACCACCAAATCCAAAGTGTTTGTTGCTTTGTCGAGCTTTCCTGGGGCTGGGAATACGTGGGCACGCCATCTGATAGAGCACGCCACAGGATACTACACAGGAAGTTATTACTTTGATGGAGCCCTCTACAACAAAGGTATCGGGGCCCAGGAGATGGAACACAGGCAGCCCTCCAAAAGCACACAGCTTTACTTATTGCCTTGTCATCCTTCTGCTCGAGCCAGCAATGGCTGTTGCTGTCAGCACATTTGGTACAATTGAAACACGCCTGGCCCGAGCAGCCTCCCACAGTGCAGATGGCAGCAGGGACAGCTCCAGCAGCACGCTGCTCTGACAGGCAGCTGCCCTTACAGACAGCAGCCAGGCTCTCCATTTGCGAACGGGCACACTGCCTGCACTGTTGCCCCGTGCACACACAGATGTGCTGCTCCCACCTGACAGGCTGCTCCAAAAGAGCAGTTACCTAAGCACCGTGGGCAAGACCCTTCAGCAAACATGTAGGTTAAATTTTCAAACATTACTAATTACTCTGGGAGAGAGGTATCCTGAGGCGGCAGAGGTTCAGCAAGCACCAAGCACTGGCCCTGTGAAAAGTTGCTTCATTGCAGTGTGGGGCTGAGGATGCCTCCCCCAGCAGAGGGATAGCCTGGCTGCCAGCACGTGCCCAGTGTGGTGGCTGGGGCTCCAGCCATGGGTCAGCTGATTGGTACTGTCACACCAGCTTTACACCACTGTAGGGAATGATTTAGTGGGAAAAGGCACAGACATATACTCAGGCAAAAAAGCCAACAATCCTGTCTTGTAAAACAGGTTTTAAAGGAGAAAAAGACCACTGGAGAAGTAGAAGGACCATCTGTGTGAAGACACATGAAAGTGGCAAGACAGAGATTGAAATGTTTGACTCGGCGATCCTGTTGATAAGGAACCCGTACAAATCACTGATGGCAGAGTTCAACAGAAAATACGCTGGGCACCTGGGCTATGCCACTGACCGCAACTGGAAGAGCAAAGGTGAGCATTACCCCAGCACAGGCTGGTTTGAAACCCATCTCCTCAGTGTGCTGGGAACGGGGGACACACTAGGACCTGAGTGGGTGCTGCTAACAAATTCAGTGGGACTTTAGTCCTGCCACAGCTGAGATCAATCCTAAAACCTCTGACACCTGCACAGTGGGAGCAGTTGTGGTCTTGCTGTATGTCCACCCCAGAGGGGAGGGGAGGGGAGGGGAGAGCAGCAGAAATGCCACAGGAGCATCACTGCACTGCTGGGCATAGAAAACATGTCCATGTACAAGGCTCCTCTGCACAGCCCATTTGCTAGGCTGAGGTGAAGAAAATTTGCCCCTACAGCATGTAATAACCATGAGAAAACTAACTTAAGATCTGGAGGATCCAATGGAGCGTGACATTTCATGATGGATATTTTACAGCATCGCACAGGTGCTACTTCATTGCAGAAAAATAAGGCTAACAGCAATAAGTGGACCTGAAATTCAGTGTCCCCTGAACACATGAAAAGGCTTCAGAACCTGCCTGCCACACTTCACGTGTTTGACTGGCAACTGGCTGCTGACTGCAATTTCCCCACTGCATACACTGCTGCATTCAGACTCTGCAGCAGAAAAACCATTTGGCTTCCATTTCTCCTTGTACATATTTTAGGCATTACAGCTGTGGCTTGGCAGAGGGCTGGGGGGAAAAGTGTCCAGTGTCACAGCACATTTCTTTCCCAAGCTGATGTATCACCTTTCATCAGTCACAACTCAAGACCTATTCATCAAAAACTGACAAAATAGCCCCCAGAAAAAAAGCAAGTCTGCTGGGGATGGCTTTCCCATACTGCAAACTGCAAATTGTTACATTTCAGCCACAAATGCTCTTTGTCCAGCCCAAAAGCTTTCACTAGGACTGTCTTGACTTCAGGAAATTAAATTATCAGAGAGCAAATAGAGATCAAGGTATCATTAATGTCTAAAGCAAAGGAAAATTACTGAAATGCAGCATGGCTAACAGTGTCTCATTTTCTGGTTTCCTGGTCATCCAGAGTGGCCGGATTTTGTGAACAGCTATGCCTCCTGGTGGGCCTCCCATGTCCTGGAGTGGCTGAAGTATGGGAAGCGCCTGCTCGTTGTCCATTATGAGGACCTGAAGCAGAGCCTCATCCCCAAGCTGAAGGAGATGGTGGAGTTTCTGAACGTGACAGTGACAGAGGACCGGTTGCTCTGTGTGGAGAACAACAGGGACGGGAATTTCAAGCGGTCTGGTGCTAAGCAAAAGAATTTTGAGCCATTCACCCAGGAAATGAAAGATCTTATCAACAGATACATCCTGACAGTGGATGAAGCCCTAAGGGGAAGAAACTTCTCAGGGCTGCCCAGAGAATATGTGCCAAGATGATAGGCTGGTATCACACTGCTGTGGTTAAAAAGGAAGTTGTTGGTTTTTTTCCTTAAAAAAAAAAAAAAAAAAAAAAAAAAAAAAAAAAAAAAAAAAAAAAAAAAAAAAAAAAAAAAACACTGAAGTTTCTCCTATGAGAAGAAAAGGAAAAAAAAAAAAAGAAAAAAAAAAAGAAAAAAAAGAAGACCAGATCTCTTTAGTAGTTATGGCAAAGATATTTGTGGAGGCTGCTGAGCAGTGCAGCACTTGGGAATGCTGGGTTTTGTCAGCCCCAACAGCGCCAAACCTGTCTCCAGGGGCATAGAGGAGACCCCAGAGGAGTGGCAGAGAAGGGAGTGCCACCTGTGCTAGGGGCTTGACACAGGTTTCTGCACCTCCATCTCTTCATCTGGAGAGTCATGTTGGGTCTGGGGGGACACCAGGGCCAAATGTCACCACAGCTCTTGGTTCTAGAAATGGTCAGCTGGGAAGACCTGGAGAATAGGGGCAAAGGAGGTGAACCCCAGTCTTTCTGGCCCCAGCAGGGGTAGGATCACACCTCCTACCTCATCCCTGAACATGTGGAGGAATTCCAAGGCAGTCCAACCTGGAAAACCACAGCTACTTAGAGCTGCCCTCTGGAGCCCCCTCCAGCAGCCATGCAGGTTTGATTTTTAACTCCTGCAGTCACCTTGGGTGTGTTTGACCCTGCAGGGGGCCTGTGTGCAGTGGGGAGAGAACAGGGGCACCCAGGGCTGGCAGGGCAGCTGGCCCCATGATCCTGGGCCACTGGGCAGCTTGGAGGTGGTTAATCCCAGTGGCCAAAGGGGCTGCCCTGCTGCAAGATGCTTCTGTTCACGTGAAGTAAAGGATTTCTTAAAAATTTGAGTGAAAATACTAATTTTAATAAAACAAGTTTATATAAAGGGAGCTGAACTTCCTCTGCCTGTGTATCACTGGTACCTTAAAAACAATACAGGACATGAGTACCCTTCAACCCAAATCTCTCCCTGTTTACACCCCACATGTGGCTCATCTCTGTGCCACCTGCCTGGTATGGGGCTTGTGGGGTTGTCACATCCCCATCCCTAACACTCATTGCCTTCCTTGGCAGTAAAGGTCTCAAGGGTCACAAAGGTGTGAGGGATTGCAGTGGACTGAGCTGGTTCACAAGGAAAACAGAAATTCTTTTGTTTATGCAAGGGGTACAGCTCAAAAACGCAACTCAGTTTGGGTGCTGCAAGCCCAGATAAAGACAAGTGGTGAGACCCTGAGGTGCCTGTGCAGGGTGGCACAGCCCTCCCTGGGACACCACTCAGCCCCTCACAGGAACACAGCTCACACACACCTGCACACCAAGGAGAAAACCCAAATAATGCTGTGCCAGTACCAAACACCACAGACAGAAACACCCAGGTACGGAAACTTTCCCATAAAGCAGAAAAATAAGGATGCTACAGAACAGGACTATCACCATCTCCACTCTGACTTAGTAAAGAACTGATTATTTTGGAAATTACGGTCTTCCAAGTTTCATTTGGGTAGCAGTTGCTGTCGATGGATGTGGTCACATCCCACAAAGTTTGAGCCCAGCCTATGGAAGGAGCACAGATGCTTCACAGAAAGAAATTGCTCTTAGCCTCACTGAATAACATTTGCCTGAGACCGCAAACCAGGATTTGGGCCCACCACAAAACATGAAGATTATGAGAATGACATTTTATTATATTGCCTTTCCAATCTTGTCTAGCATTACAGAATCATTTAAAAAACATTTTGATCATTTCAAACCTGCAAATGGTGAGCAATGACTGGCTGTAAACTCTCAAGAAGGCAATTTAATTACACATATGTCCTGTAATGAAGACTCTAGGTGGCTAAAATTAAAGCTGGCAAAAATTATGAATATGCATTAGCTCTGTAATGCCAAAAATCAGCTCGTTTAAAAAAAAAAAAGAAATTGTAGCCAGCCATTTCTTAACAGCTGAGATACAGGGGCTGCCTCTTTATTTTTATACATTTTGTACAAAACATGTATACACGGTTTACACATTATACATCTGTATGTACAGACACATGAATGTATCACTTGCATGCTCTGCCAGGGCTCTTTTGTGATCATAGGAATAGTGAAGGACTTCATGGGTCATTGTATATGATCCACACCAATGGCCTGGACAGAGCATAGTTTACACTGTCCTTCCCTGCCACATCTTTTTTGGTCAGTATTATGTTTTAGCTGAAACAGCTCTTCATCAGTGTTCACAGATACTGATCACATCCTCTCTCAAGCTCCATCTTGCCAGGGCAAATAATTTGTGACACTTACCCAATTCCCCTGCAAGGCAGATTTTCCTCTCAATCATCTCTGTGCTTATTGCCCTTAGCTTTAATTAACCAGAATGTCTTAGTTTAAAAAAAAAAAAAAAAAAAAAAAAAAAGGGCTTCAACCATGCCACTGAAAGCCATGTTGATGTTCACTCCACGTAGACTTGCCTTCTTATTTTCTATTCAAAATATTAGAAATGGAAGAAATATGCTTACAATTCCCTCAAGCTTTTAGTTTTCCTCAGGAAGTCATGAGTCATAAGCAGGCAACCAGAACAAAACAGAGATGCTACATTTGAAAAAGAAGAGCTTAACACTTGAGATTGGTAAAGTGAGCAACAGCCACACTATACAAGGTGGAATCTAGATTCTCTATTGAACTGCAGCTAAAAAGTGGGTAAACCATATTAGAAGAGAGGGCATAATGGGAGAGAAAGTGGTTTTTCTTCCTGGAAACCAACTACAAAATAAAGCCATTAAAGCAATCCTAAAAAAAATCACAAATGTCATCACCAGCAGTTCTGTCTTTCGGCACTGCTTTATGAATTTTCCTTTAAACCCATTTCTTTTAAAATCCATTACTCACTGCTAAGACCAAGCTACAATACCACTGCAGCAATATTAACCTCTATGAAATAATTAAAGGATGGATTATCAGCATGAGACCTTACATGACACCTTTTTGGAACCTAATGTGTCTTCCAATGGCCTGCAATATAATGAGATGTTCAAATATAAAATGTTGAGTTACTGCTTTTGTCAGTTGTGACATTTCTTCAGTCAGAAAGACCCAAATTCCCAACTGCATTACTTACACCTTACTTTTGACCTTGGATGGTTGAGAGCAATCTTTAAGGAAGCTATCCCTTTGAATCTCCTTTTAGTATTAGCATTTAATTAGTCTAACAAATTTCCTGATGTACAATTACAATGGACTGTAAATAAGCTCTTTCCCTTTGAACCATGATGCATTTTTTAGCCTCCTGCGCACTCAGACCAGCAAACACATCCATCTCTCAGCTCCTTCTACATAGCACTGATTTATCTTCAGTTGCTGGCTCCCAGACCAGCAGCTTTTCCCATCACAGGACTCCACTCACCATCCACACACCCTGGTTCTTCAGACTATGGGCACCATCATATACCATCATGCATACAAACAGAGCAATTCACAGAAAATGTTAAAATCTTATCAGGAAGTGTATCATTTCTAGACATGGGGCATGATCACCACTAATGGCTGCATGGTTTTGACCAAGCTACCTGAAAGAGCAGCAAAGAGGAGAATGGCTTCTCTTAATCACATGAATCAGTGTCAAACCCTCAGATGAAGACGAATACTATTGAAGTGCATTATTAAATGTTTTATGCAATAGTTAAGATGATGGGAAAGGCCCAAAGATTTTTAAATTAAATCAGCTCTGACTGAGTAAATGTGATCTCATCAATGCAGTCTCTCCCTGCCCTCTTACTGCAGAGTTGTGTGCTGCCCCTGCTCTTGGAGCCTGCTTGTCACACCCCTGCCTGCAGGAGGGTGGTCTGCAGGTACCAATTTGCCTCCTGCCCACCCTGGAGACACCAGGTGGGTTTTTTCTGCAGTTCAAGGCTCACCAAAGCCTTGGCTAGACTCCTTCAGGTGCTGCCCCAGTGCAGGATCAGCACCCAGCTGCCCACATGCTCTTGCTGCTGTTGCCTTTCAGTGTGCCCAATGGAGAGCTCCAAGGTGTGCGGGCAGGAGAGGCTACGGAATCACAAGCTCTTAAAAGTACTGATAACAAAAATAATTTCCTCCTATGAACCACAGTGGAGAGACCTTTCCAGGTCCATCCAGGTCCATTCTGCATGGGTGGGGTGGGTTGGAAGCAAACTGCATTATCTGGAGCAGTTGCTGCAGTCACACAGTGACTGGATTATTAGCGCTTATCCTGAAGGCAAAGCAGACGATCACAGACCTTGGATTTTAGATATGTCAGAAGCTGCATTAACCTACAATACTTCTGAAATAAAGCACTTAGTACGACCCTAGCAAAATTATACAGCTCATTTCATAGGGAAAATTCAAGTCACAATAAATGAAAAACACAGAGAGAAGTGATTTAAAGGCAACACCTTACTAATGACAAGAACATTTCTTTGATGAGTGAGGTTATAAAGGAGCAGTCTGCAGTACAACTGCATCTTTCATGAAGCATCAAATATGCTGGAAAATAAACCAAATCTTCCATGCTGACTTACCCTATTACAATGATGTTCTGGAAAATTGTCAAACACACACAAACAGGTGTGTGTGTGTGTTTGCATGGGCAGCTGGTCCCACATTCCCCACGCAGGGACCAGGAGGTCTGTCCCTGCCTGGGGCCTCTGCCCTGCCTTGGGGGGCACAGGGCTGGGGCTCCCCCCTGCAGCAGGGAGGGCAGAGCTGGGACAGCACCCACCACCCCAGGGGACGGCACAGCTGCACCTGAGCCACTGTGCTCTGGTGGAGGATTTCTCTTAAAAGAATGTGCAGAACATTTGTTTTCTTAGAAACACACTTTTTTCCACAGTCACTCATTTAAATGGATTCCACTGTGCCTGTTTTACGCCTCTCTTTATTCCAACAGAGACTAAATTAAGCTTTGAAGTTTAGTGAGAAATCCTAATGGCATTCGACTTCAGTGCTATTGCCTGAATCCCGGGGAATTTAGAGAAAGGGGGAGAGCAAGAGGAAAGAAACCACTCTCTTATTGTTTTCTACAGCTTGATCCTGAAATGGCTGACTTTGAAAATAACCTTAGTGCCTAACTTTATGCATTATTCATATATACTAAAA